TTTCGTGATCCTGATTCTTTTAAGTCTGGTGAACTCCGTACATGCATTGACCTCTGGAAGGATATTTTGGAGGGTTATGACCAGGCGGAAAATGTCCTTGAGTGGATAGGAAAGGGCGTAAATATCAGGGAATTTATGAGGCCGTTTCGGGGGTCCTGTATGGGCGTTAACTATGATAGCACCGATCCCCCATCGAGGGCCTTTAAAAACCACCACTCCTGTAAACAGTTTTCGCAGTTTGTTACGGAGACACTTTTACAGCGCATCGAGACTGGGGGAATCCGTGTCTGGGGTCGAGTTGGGGACGTAAGTCCGCCCCACTTGGTCCTCCCAATGACGATCGAACCGCAGAAGCCCAGATTATGCATTGACGCCCGGTTCTTAAATCTGTGGATGAGGGATACCCCTTTCTCTCTTGACACGCTCGTTGGAGTTCCTCGCGTCGTGTATCCTAACTCTTACATGAGCAAGATCGACGACAAGTCTGGCTATGATCATATTCTGCTTTCTCCTGAGTCTCAGCAATATTTCGGCATCGCGTGGCAGGGGTGGTGGCTAGTTGGTGTTACGCTCCCGTTTGGTTGGAAGAATTCCCCCTTTGTTTACCAAACTGTTGGCTTGGGTCCAACGAATTTTTTCAGGAACTTAGGGGTGGCATGTTCTCTTTACATTGACGATCGTTTAAATGGGGAGTTGTTTTCTTCGGAGGGTTTTTGGTCGCGCCCCATTTCTCGGAGAACTCCGGATTACAGTTATCGGTCTGCGATGGTGGCCTTGTATATAGTTTGCAAAGTTTTTGTTGGTTTGGGTTATTTCTTGGGTCTTGCTAAATGCGTTCTGGTCCCTGCGACTCGGATCCAGTATTTGGGAATGATTGTTGACTCTGCAGTGCAAGCTTTTTGTATACCCGAAGACAAGAAGCTGAAGTTTGCTCGATTGCGGGAACAGATACTTCTCCGTGAAGCCACTGTTTCCTTGAAGTACCTTCAAAGATTAATGGGGAAATGCATTTCCTTCTCACTGGCTTTTCCCGGGGCTAAATTTTATATCCGGGAGATGGCAGCGTCCATAGCGAGGGCGTTTAATGGTAGCGAGGTAAAGATATCCCCAGTTTTGCGAGAGGAGATTTTGTTCTGGAGGTTCCTGGACAGTTGGGACAAAGTGGCTCGATGGAGAAGTGAAAGTCATCTGGCAATTTCCTTTACCTCGGATGCATCCTCCTTCAGATGGGCAGCGGTCATTCATCTTCCCTCCGGAACGCTTTCGGTTGGTGATTACTGGGATGAAGACATCCGGGGCGAGCACATAAACGTGAAGGAAATGTGGGCCGTCCTCAAAGGTCTACAGTCACTCCCTGAAGTTATCCGCGATTGCCGGATCGATGCACAAGTCGACAATATGGTGGCCATCCATTCGTGGTCGGGGCGGGGACCGCGCTCGAGGGCTTTAACGCAAATTTCACAACTCATTTTCCAGTTCCTGGTGGCCAGAAATCTTTCTCTTGACATGTCTTTTGTTCCCTCCAACTCGAATCAGGCGGATTGGTTTTCTAGGAGGTTGTCTCCCTCAGATGCTATGCTTTCGCTAACATCTTGGGATCTTGTCCAGCGCCATTTTGGGGGCGCTAACGGCCATGATCTTGATCTCATGTCGCTAGACTCTAATGCTCATTGTGATGGGAAAGGGAACCCGTTGAGGCATTTTACCCCTTATCCTACTCCTGGCTCGTCTGGGGTTAATGTCTTTAATCAAGACCTGTCGGTGTGCGATGGTAACCATGTAAACGCTTATGTTTTCCCTCCTTTTTCTTTGATTGGCCCTTTGCTGCGCCTTTTTACGTCTGCAAATGCAGCTGTTACAATTGTGGTTCCAAAGTTGTCCCCTTTGCCTGGTTGGTGGCCCTTGCTAAATGTGTTGGCTACCCGCAGAGTTTTAGTTGCTAAGAAGGGGTCGGCCGATGCGCTCCTCTTCCCTTCTCGACATGGTTTTGTACCCCGTTTATGCCCCTATGACCTCTGGGCGTTTCGAATTGCACGCTCCTCCTCCCGGACGACCTAACGGGTGATGTTTTCCTTTCAGTCTTTGCCGATTGTTCCCAGACTGTTTCAACCGTCTGTGTCTTGTCCAGTTTGCGCCAAACCCAATGACTGTGATTTCCGCTTCTGTCAGAGGTGTGGTTATCAACGTCAGAAGAGAGTTTCCCAGGCTTCTCCTCACCTTAAAGCTCCTGTCAATTTGTCCGTTATAAATGCGCGGAAACAGTGTTTGGTTGCTAGGCAACGCTCTACGCCATACCAGAAACAGAAGAGTGCCTTAGAGGTTGAGTTTATGGATTTCCTCGGATTTACTTCACAACGGGACATGTGCACGGCCATTCCTGATGATGTTGTCGATTTCTTGATTTGGAAGGACAGTTTTGGTAAAACGGTGGTACATTGTGATACGTGTCCGTTCTTTGGAGAGAGAAGTAATTCGTCCTGTTCGTGCCCTAAACGCTTGGCGTATGGTTCGGATGACTCTACCATTGGGAAACTGAGAGCCATTTTCAACAAATATGGTAGAACTGCCATCAATGGCCCTTTTCTCGAGCTCGCTAATCCAGCGGCTTCCCCTGAGGTCAAGTCCTATTTATCGGTCATTAGAGAGGCGCAGTTGGTTGCACGGGTCGTCCCCAGGCAAGCTGAGCCATTCTTTTTGAGGGATTTGGTGATCTTGTCGTCTGAGATACTTAGGCGCATGAACACTCACCTTCGTTCTCCATCACAGTTGTATATTTTAGCACGGGATCAAGCGTTTTTTAAAATACAGTTCTTTGGCGGTGACAGGGCAGGGGACTTGGGTCGGGTACGAACGCAGGAGATGCTGTACTTCCCTAACAACCAGGGCTTCTTGTTCAACCACACCTTGACGAAGTCCCTGCGGGATGGTGCTTCGAATCTTTTTGGCCTTAAGCGTCATGTGGATCCGACAGTGTGCCCGGTTACCGCCGTGGAGGTTTACGTTAAACTTTGCGACTTATTAAAGGTTCCTGTTCGCCGTGGATTTTTGTTTCGACCTTTGAACCCATCGGGGGAGGTTCTGCCTGCCCCTTTTGGGTCTGCTGCAGCCCAGTCGCGATTATCCCTGTACGCTAGCCAGCTCTCGGACTTGGCTAATCGGAACGTCACTCTGCACGGTTTAAGAAGTGGTTGTGCGATTTCTCTTGCGCTGTCCGGAACGAAACTTGATCAGATCATGGACCACGTGGGCTGGAAATCATCGTCCACAGCACTGCACTATATTAAACTGAATGAAGTACTTAGCTCTGGTGACGCTGCGACGCCCTATCTTCGTTGACTTTAGATTTAGCTGACGCTTATAAGGAATATAATGATTTGCGGGGTTTTACTAAAGCCTTCACTTCGAGGTTTTTCCCTCTTGCGGGTCATTAGGTTAAGGGACTGGAACTTAAGTTAGGGTTGGGGATGTTAGCG